TAATAATCATGCATCGTAACAATTTTGCAATATTATTTTCATTAAGGTTTCATTAAGTTCCGCTTGTATTCTTAACATTTGCTTATCTTGAGACTGCATATACATTTCTGTACATATTTATATTAAACCACATATAAGAATCATTTAACTGTAAATATCTTTACCATATGTTCTAATTATGTAAAGTATACAATTAGCATAATAATTATTATATCGATTTTATTAATTAAAGTGCTTTTTTTTACTTGATTTTTATTTCAAATTAATGAAATTTTATGACAGTTTTATAATTTAATGTATATTATAAATTTAAATGAATTTAAAATTAAATGCATATAAGTTAAAAGAATAATTAGAAATATTTACATATAATTCTGTATTTATATAATTTATATTCCATGTGCTACTATATTGTAAAACAATATTTAAAAAATGATAAAAAAGATTAGTCATTATAGAATATAATTATAAAATATAATTGCATATAATTCTATTGTTGTATGTATGATGATCCAAATATTTTAGAATAATGAATTCAATCAACTATTTTTTAAAACTGATTTAAGATTGTAAAAAAATTAATGCTTTTAAAATTATTGTTTATAGGAAATGAGAAGAAGACGTAATGAAGTGACAGTAGAATTACGTAAAAATAAACGAGAAGAAACTTTACAAAAAAGAAGAAATGTACCTATTACAGATTCTACAGGTAATGTCTAAAACTAAAATTTCTCGTTTTTATGCATGCTAATTTTAATGTGAACACAAATGTAATTTCAACTTATACAAATGCAAGTTGAAATATTGCAATAATTTGTTAATATGTATTATTTTTCCAAGTAGATGAAGATGACATTGACAAACAGCTGTCAAAAATCAACTTGGAAGAACTGGTAGCAAAAGCAGATAGTTTAGATCCAACAATACAACTACAAGCTGTGCAGTCAGCAAGAAAATTGTTATCATCAGATCGTAATCCACCCATTGATCCGTTGATAGATAGTGGTATTTTACCAATCTTAGTTCGCTGTCTTGAGCAGCATAACAAGTAAGAAAATTTTTTTTGTGCAAGTGTATTACATTAGTTTCTTATGTATTTAGATATCTTTAACATATTTTTGTCATTTGTTGTTATACACTCATTTGTATAGTAATAACAAGTTAGGAAATGTTTTTTTTTTTGTAAATTATGTATTAAGCTATATTTATCTGTATCACTGGAATGTTTATAGGATTGTTTTATATGTATATAATGTTCTAGTCCATCATTGCAATTTGAAGCAGCCTGGGCTTTAACAAATATTGCAAGTGGAACATCGGCTCAAACACAAGCTGTAGTTGCTGCTGGAGCCGTGCCACTGTTTTTGCACTTGTTGCTTTCAAGTCAGCAGAACGTATGTGAACAAGCAGTATGGGCCTTAGGTATGACACATAACTATAAGAAAATTCTGCTTAAATTATAGGATATACATTAAATGTTTTTTTTTAATAAATATATTAACAAATACATTTTTTATATTTTAAAAAATAAAAATCAGGACTCAGATCAAATCGAAACCAGACTCAATAATTGTTCCATAATCTTTTCTTTAGTCGAATCAAAATCGTAAATCGTAAATATTAAAATTTTACAAAGTTTATGACACTGAAAATAAAATTATTTTTAATTTACGATTTTTTTTATTTTTAATCTATAATTTATTATTTTTGTTATAATGTATTTTATCCCTTTATTTGCATTATTTCCTCTGTAAGATTATATAAAATTTAACGAACGCGATTTCAATACAAGTCTGAATATAGTCATTACATTGTTTTTAACAAATGCGAATCGAAAAGACCTAGAGATCTAAGCTAAGATGGCGTGTGACAAATAAATATATTTTCTTCATTTTTATGCAGTGAGTTAGTATTTTAGTATTCCCTTTAATCATTTAGTTTTCTTGATATTTTTGTTTATTTGCATTTTTATGCTTTATAATGGCTTTTACAACATATGATAATGCATTTTACGCAGTAAGAAGCATTATCTAATTGTAATTGCCATTTTCTCCTATTATGTATCTATTAAAAAAGTGTTGGTTATTGCTGGTTATTGTTTGATTATTGAGTTTATATTTTTTATATATAGCAATTGTCATTTTTACATTTCGAATTTATTCTATATATAGAAATATTGGAGATACAAACTATTACATTGTTTAATAGAACAATGGAAAATGTAATGTACATCGAAATCGGAACAGTTATTAAACTAACTATAACAGACCGAAATATTTTTTTGGTCCGAGTCTCTGATTAAATTATAAGATTACTTCAAAATAAATTTTTTTAATGATACTCTGAATATTAAAAATATATGTTTCTTTAATTTTTAACTTGATTTATAATAAAGTCTGAATATTGTAATAAAAAAATGCGCACATTTAAAAATATATTTGTAAATATGTTACATGTATTTTTATTTATTATAGGTAACATTATTGGAGATGGTCCAGTACCTAGAGATTATGTTATTAATCTTGGTGTTGTAAAGCCATTGCTAACATTTATTAAACCAGATATACCTATTACATTTCTACGTAACGTAACATGGGTTATTGTAAACTTATGTAGGAATAAAGATCCACCACCGCCAGTTCAAACTATAAAGGAAATTTTGCCTGCTCTAAATATGCTTATTCATCATAGTGATGTTAATGTAAGTATTATGATTATATAAAAAATTATAGAGAAAAATAAAAATTTCATTTAATATAGAAAGATTCTAAAAGTCGTAGGTAATCTTTGTTGCCAGTGATTTAATTATAGTGCAATTTAACTAATGTTTTTTATCTTTTAAAAAAATTGCAAAAATTGTTTCATAGAACTATTTTTCTATTGCATTTATCTTTAAATATAACAAATAAAATACTAAATTTTATTTTGTATTTATTACATTTTTAGCTAATAATAGAAATTGTTATAATTCTAACAATTTTTTAGATTCTTGTTGACACTGTATGGGCCTTGAGTTATTTAACTGACGGTGGTAATCAGCAAATTCAAATGGTTATAGACAGTGGTGTTGTACCCCGTTTAATACCACTTCTTTCGCACAAAGAAGTCAAAGTGCAAACTGCTGCCCTCAGAGCAGTTGGCAATATCGTGACTGGCACGGATGAGCAGACACAAACTGTTTTAAATTGTGACGCACTTTCGCATTTCCCTAATTTGTTGACTCATCCAAAAGAGAAAATTTGTAAAGAAGCAGTCTGGTTTCTTTCAAATATTACTGCCGGTAATCAATCACAAGTTCAAGCAGTCATAGATGCAGGACTTTTACCACTCATTATTCGTAATTTAGCAAAGGTAAGCGTACAGCCTTGTGTATAAGTAAAATGCATATATATTATATTATTACTTCATATTGTTATATATGTAATCTTATTTACATTTTCCTTTTATATAGGGAGAATTTCAAACACAAAAGGAAGCAGCATGGGCAATTAGCAATCTTACGATAAGTGGTAACAGAGATCAAGTTGCACGACTTATACAAGAAGGAGTTATCAGTCCATTTTGTGATCTTTTGTCTTGTAAAGATACTCAAGTTGTACAGGTGGTATTGGATGGAATTCATAATATGCTTAAACTTGCTGGGTCAGAAGTCGAACATTTGGCTAACATGATTGAAGAATGTTCCGGTAAATATGCTTTATTTTATATTAACTTTCTTTTCTTACATTTTCTTACGTAAAAAGAGTAAAATTTAACAAAATATATATACATTTTAACATATACATGTTTATTTTTTTTTTATTTTAAAAGTTTGGCTAGGATTAAAAAACTAAGAAAATTTATTAAAAAAATAAACATTAATTTTTATTTTAAGGTTTGGATAAGATTGAAGCTTTACAAAATCATGAAAATGTAGATATTTACAAATTAGCATACGACATCATTGAGCAATACTTTTCAGAAGAGGTAAGACATTACAGCTTATAATAACATTAACATGAATTTTATTCTTACACACACACACACACACACACAATGTGTGTATATATAAAATATTACGTCATTGATTTTCAGGCGGACGATGCACCACTGGCATCACACGAAGGTGCTTTTGAATTTGATCAGACGACGAGTATTCCGAGTGAAGGTTTTAAATTCTGAGAGGGTCTCCACTTCTTATCCGATCGTGCCGTCCCCCGACAAACTCCAACGCGGAACCATTTTGCTTTCTCTTTCCTATTTCTACATCTCCTTCCTACTCCAATGAAAGCATAGCAATATGGAATTTACTGCTACCGAATCAAGAATTATTGCGTTTGTTCATACAAGCATACAGTGTGACTTATTGACATTTCCGTATTCGGAAAACCAGAATGAAAGACAGGAAAAAAGCTAGTTGGAATGAAGCAGTTGGTAACTACCAAATTGATCATCTATGGACTTTGATTTTTTCTTTCCCTTTTCTTATCATGTATGTTACCTTTGTTTCTTTTATAAATATATGATAAACGCGTATTAGCAGTCTTTAGCTGAGCGCAGCTAGCTACATAATGTATGAGTAAATTATTCTAGAAGTCGAATAACTTCACAATAAGGTGTTAAGTCAATGGAAAAAAAAGGATCTTTCTATCGTGCTTGATCATGCTGCTCTCCACTCTAACTCAGGACGAGTCTTGGTTAGCGATATTACTTTTATAAAATAATTCGTGTATATTTTAGGCATGTTAAATTTATAATGATATTGATTACTAAATAAATGAATCAATTGACTACTCTTTGCTAGCATAATTGATAAGTGTGAATATTTCTGTAAGGAGCAGACAACTAATAAAATTTCAACGGAAATTCGGCACAACTTCAACCATCACTCGACAATCTTACTTTGATTTATTGATAACAGAATTAGAAAACAAATGTGCCTCTGTATACATTTTTTAATTGCTATGTAACTTATATTTATAAATTATTACTTGGGGAAAAGAGCATGTAAACTCTATAAATGATTCTGCAATTCTACATTATTATTTTAATTTATTATTGTACAGATGTATAATTAAGATTCTTCTTTAAATTCTATCGTGGGATCTGTAAACGGATGCACGTCATCTGCATACAGTTCCTCTGGAAGCGATTCCTCGGTGATACTTGGTAAATATGTAGGGAAATGTGGCGCTGTTGTAGGTTGCTTCAGCGGAAGCAATGTATCATATATGTAACAATAACTATTGGTTTCGCCAGGTATATTGTGCCCCAGAACCCAAATCACATTATACTTCGTATTTATTCGTAGGATCTACGAAGCCATTAATCACATTATCAAAAGAAATGATTAGCACAAGTGAACTTATACAACTTATATATTCGCGAAACTTATAAATCTCGAATTTCGAGACAGATGATTTTTTTCATAAATCTATGTTTACAGATATAAATTTACTTACCCGAACACCTTTAAGAATACGCCACCTATTACCCATGTGCCCAGGCATTTTAGTGCCAGGCATAACTCGGGCCTTTGTGCCACCTGACCCAATATTTCCGGGTCTTCTGTGAGTTTTGGTCACACCGTGAGTGGCAGGCATCCCTTTAAAACCCCACCGTTTCATAACACCTTGAAAGCCACGATCAATCCTGAATGAAATTCACATACTTCAATTTTTCGCGAATAACGATTACTTGATATAATTACTTTTTCTTTTTATAAAACAATACATGTAGCACAATATGACAAAATTACGTTTTTCCGCGAATATCGACGACTTCTCCCGGTTTAAAATGTAGGGCATATAAAGGAGTTCCTGGCTGCAATGCTGCTTCTGGAGATACTATGAATCTTCTTAATATACGTTTCGGCATAACTCCAGTATCATTAAAAATACCGTAATATTCTTTAGTAATCTACAAAAGGATATTGTCAATTTTATTGGAATAGAGAAATTTATCGAATATCAGTTTTTAATTACATACCAATTGCGGATTTATATTTTCTGCCCCTACTACAAGACATCCGCGTCTGTTTTTGATTTGTATTGGAGCTCTACGGCTTTTTATTGGATAAAATTGATCCGGTGGTATGTATTTTACTACTTCGTTATCAACAATCTGAATTTAAAATACAGAATATTAGTCACAGAATAAAAAACATTAGAATTAAAATGGCAACTATATCGCTTGTTAAAAACTATTCAATTTACCTGAAGTAACGTTGAAGCGACCCTGTTTCCATCTTTCAACCATAATGGATAAACCCCTATTTTCTTGGCGATTAAACCAGTACGTTTCATACCTTTCTTCCACTCTACAGTAGGCTCGATTGGATCTATTTTCAAAGGAGAAAGTTTCGTTTCGGTGGTGGACGGCCCATATTTGTCCTGAACCACTTCGTCAAGAAACTGCTTATTATTTTCTGTTAGATTTTCATTGTACAACTGTAAAAGCATTTTTATGTATTTTTTGTGCCATATATATGCATATTTGTGTATTTAATTATCACATATATTACAAGTATAAATTATTTATATACTAGTTACATACAACACGTTGCGTTTTTGGAAGCCACTCTGGATGACGGTATCTAGGTTTAATTAGATATTTTTCCCGTTTTGGGATAGATATCATATCGATACTGTAAGTTCATACAAATACAAATCGTTATAAAAATTTATATATAAATCTACATTTATTTGTTACATTAATACATATTCTAAGTAAATATATATGAGTATATTAGTATATATCTCTGTCTTTTAATTTTTTAGTTTAGCAAATATATTTAACTTAAAGAAAAATGAAAAGATTAAACTTTTTTATACATCTTGCATATTCAATTTGCATGTTTTAATCAATTTTGTACTTGTACTATAATACTGTAATTTATTAAAGTTTTTTTTATATTTACGAGCTCAAAATAAACACAATCACAGGTGATTTTATATTAAAAACAACCACGTTTTCGCTCATTTATTTAATTCATAAGAATTTATGAATTTATGATTTTATGTTCATAGTATTTTAAAAGATTTCAGGAATATATGCAAATTTTTAAGAAACATCAGATATACGTATCTAACTAAATTTCGCACATGTAAAGTGGAATAATTCTACACCTGGTTAGATGCTATACAAAACGACAATAAACTGCGGCGTACCTTTGTTTCAAGCACTTGTGAAAAAGTTGAAGTCCATTAATCGTCTTTAGAAGCGATGTCATTGTTAATACGTCGATCTCACAATTGTTCTTCTAAATCTATATATATTATCAGCTAATTTAACATAAGAAGGACCGAAGATGTACGGGGGTGTGTTGTTCCACCGGTTGGTGGCTTTGCGCCTTCAACCTCTCCACGACGTTATATGACGCCTCCTGTTGTTGTATCCGTTTTCAACTTTTTAGATCTATTTGCTCGCAAAATTATATTGCTTTCTTTCTATTATCTGGATATGGATTCTATGATTTTCTTTCACTGTTACTCCTTATCCAAAGATACACATCAGATTGCAGGTTATGGTCCGATATTTCAGATTTCAGGTTTAATTCGGTCAATTCTGATTTGCGTAAACATAAAAAAATAAAAATGTAGATATGAATGGAGTAAGTTACACACACATGTAAAAAATATCGACCAATCACGCATTTAATAGTTTAATACGCAGCGATATGGGCTTTAATTGGACATGCGATTCGTTAATTCGGTTAAGGTGCCATTTCATGCGCAGTGTGCAATCGCAGCAATTCATTACTATTGGTTAAAAGTGTTACTTAGATGACGCACTTCCGGCGCAAAATACATTTTGCCGCATCTTACTGAAGTTCAACCAAACGAACAACAAAAGCGAACGAGTAGCAAAGCCGAAAAAGCCGTGTCAGCCGTGTGAAAGCCGTGTGTTATAAACTTGTGATGTATATAATAATTGTCTATATACTCAAAGGTATTCCTGCACATAGCACGGAACACAACCGCTGAATCATGGACATAGCACGGATCACCACCAAAAGATCGTGGACATTGACTACGTAGTTCAATGTCCACTTTCCAGAGGCGCTGAAACCAGTTCAATCGCCCATCGCAGCTAAATCGCGGGCATGGCCGCTCTCGCCTCTCGGGATCCTCTCTTGTGTTGGTGTCAAATTGCTCTTCCTCCGTCGCTCTCGCCGGACCAATGAGAAGCGACCACGATTTAAGCTTCGCAGGCGTACTCAGATGATCGTGTAACGTCTGCTAGGATGGCTGGGTTTCACTTAAATTGGGTGTTATTCTTAAATTTAACAATATGCGTCGTGTTGTCGATAGCCGGGTAAGTGAGGACAATACTTCGTTTACGTGCCTTCGTGCGTCTCGCGCGATGGCCTCTTCCGAACGATTTACAGACGGCAAGTCGTCTTTAACCTGTCCCATCATCCACCACAGTTCCACCACTTGTCAGTTAAACTTGCAAATTGTATCACAGAGATTTGTATAATAATTCCTCCAAATTGAATGTAACGCAAATACATCAGAAGTTCTTGCATCCCTTTAATTTTATTAATTTTGAAAATTGTTACAATTTGCATAATACACATCGTTAGTTCGACAGTTTCTTCTTCAATTAGGTAATGATAGCAAAAGTAATGAAGTCTATTATAATTATTACCTTCTTTCTTTTTGCAGAAGAGATTTTTACAACATATTAGGATTATCACATAGCGCTAGTACACATGCAATTAAGAAGGCTTACAGACGATTAGCGAAGGAACTGCATCCCGATAAGAATAAAGGCGATCCAGATGCCTCTCAAAAGTTTCAAGACTTGGGAGCGGCGTACGAAGTGCTGTCGGATCCTGAGAAAAGAGAGATGTACGACAGATGTGGAGAGGAGTGCTTAAAGAAGGACGGCATGATGAACAATAACATGGATCCCTTCGCAAGTTTCTTCGGCGACATTAATTTTCATTTTGGCGGTGAATCTCATCAACAACATCAAACTCCTAGAGGTTCAAACATTGTGATGGACCTGTTTGTTACCTTAGAAGAGTTATATAGTGGAAATTTTATTGAGGTAAAATTTTTTTCTCTCTTGCTGTACTACAAAATGATGCAGAGTGTGTTGCTTCTTCCTTTATTAAACTTTTTTTGTTACTGCATATTTCAGATTACGAGAAATAAGCCAGTCATAAAGACAGTGAAAGGAACAAGAAAGTGTAATTGTAGGCAGGAATTAGTTACTCGCAATTTAGGAAACGGTAGATTCCAAATGATGCAACAGTCAGTGTGTTCGGAGTGTCCAAATGTGAAGTTGGTTAATGAGGAACGTATATTAGAGGTAGAAGTGGAGCCTGGAATGGTAGATAATCAAGAAACTAAATTTACTGCAGAAGGGGAACCACATATTGATGGAGAACCAGGAGATCTCATAATAAAGTGAGTGGATATTTTTCTGAATTTATATTTATAAAATCAGTTGAATCACAGAGGTGATTTTAAGCTTCAAAGTAAATTGGAATTATAAAGTAAATTTTTATTGTATGCATTTTTATGTCTGAGAAGAGCAATTTTGGAAATTGGATATGCAATGCTTAAAATTCGAGCAGACAAATTTAGCTATAGATCCACTATATTATAATATTATGTTTTCTTCTCCATATATAACACCATGTCAATGTTGTTTGTTTATTATTAAGATTAGCTGTTTTATTGTATGTGCTAGTGATTTTAACTATCAGTTTTTATTAAACGACTGAATTTAAGTCAAAGATACAAGTATTCAATTGATTTTTTAAATCATTTTTCTTGAAACAATTCTAAAAAGAAATTCAATATTATTTTGAATTTTTTTTTATAAAATCACTTTCTCGATTTATATTTTCTAGTCTATCCATATAAATGCAATTATATATTTACGATAAATATACTGTTTGTTGTAGGATACAAACTTTACCTCATCCTATTTTCGAAAGAAAAGGAGATGATTTATATACAAATGTTACGATATCATTACAAGATGCCCTATTAGGCTTCACGATAGACATAAAACATTTAGATAATCACATAGTGACTATTCAAAGGGACAAAATTACTAAGCATGGTGCCCGTATTCGGAAAAAAGGCGAGGGAATGCCTAATTACGATAATAACAATCTCCATGGCGCTTTATACATTACTTTTGATATTGCATTCCCCGAAAATGAATTTACAGACGAACAAAAAGAAGGTAAATCATAATGTTCTATATCTTAGTGCACGAAATTTTGTACACTACATTTTTATATATTATAAAAATTGGTCTGTTATTATATTTCAGATATAAAAAAATTACTGCAACAAAGTTCTGTGAATCGAGTATACAATGGTATACGTGGCAATTAATTATTTAAATGCAGTATATGTACAAAGTGAATGCAAAGTGAGTGCTTTGAACGTATGTCTTGATATTGTATGTTTGTATCATGAACGACATTCTTGCTTCCTTGCTAAAGAATATTAAGAGAGTTGGTAATCCAGAGATCGCACTGGATATATAAATTGATCATTGTACATCTATAATTTTCTATACAAATTCATCAGTTAGCAAATATGTTTTATTTAGATGCAAAAGACTGGTTAAACTAGTTCTTGTTGCCAATTATTTAAATTAATATCTGGTTCTTGTTGCCAATTATTGGTTGAAATCAACAATCATTAAGCAATTTATTTAGTAATTTAAGTTAATTATTGACTAAATCACATGAATAATGTAGGAGAGATTGATATGTGTGTGGATAGATTTTGCATTTGATATCATAAGATTTAAAAAAGACCACATATAAATTATTAAATTATTAATGATCGATCAAGTTTATATTATTACTAACACTGACGAAGTACTGTTGTAAAGATCATTAATCCTGGACAAATTTTCGTGGGGCCCGGAGTGTCAACTATTAATAATATTAATTTTCAATTGTTAACATAAATACTTGAATAATACATTATTAAAATCTAGATTTTTTAAATATGTAAATGCTTTATAAATAAGTACGAATACTTACAATAAGCTATAATATCATATATATCGCCGCAAAATTACAATTTTTTTTCTATTGTTATCATTTTTATGGATAATCAAACACGGATGGCAATCATAAAAATACAGTGTTAAATAAAATTAACTATTAGCAAGTTGTAAGTATATGTGTACACGTTTAAAAAACATTGGTCTAATAACAAACCATAAAATTAACATATTGACTAATTGCTTAAATTTTAGCAATTGCTAAACAGTCACGCTAAATATAAAATTGTCGGTTTTTAATAGTATCTTGTTGGTGTTATTAATAATATAAAAAGCAGACATCCTACAATGGCATAAGCACATGAGATTTCTTTGCAACTGCAAAGAAATTTTGAATATGAACATCAGCAAAATATATAATGAATATAGTACCATAATAAGATTAATAAACATACGATACATTTGTAGCCAATTTTTTAATTCAAATATATCTATGCATTTTAAGTGGTAATATCTTGTACGTGTAATTTATTATAGTATTGATATAAGTAAAGTCTATTATAAAATTATTACAAAAAATAAGGATATATTATTTTTTCCTGGATCAGAAATTCGAGAGTAAATCAGAAATAAATACAAGTTGTAGAATGTGTTCTAATGAAACATACGTTTTATAAATATTGTCATAGAGTAGGCTACATTGCTCACTTTTGGGTATAAAATCTGCAGAAACATTCGAAATAATTACGGTGATCAAACGAGTGTATAATATGTCTTAATAATTAACTTTCAGCCGTAACCGTGTGAAAGAATGGTTTGATGAAATACACTCATAAAAAAAATAGTAAAATATCTTTATTTGTATATAGAGAGTCGGCGGATTGGTCACTGAATTGCCCGCCGTAATATATGTCATTACATATCAAGCTTACAGTTATTAAAAGTTTATTGGCTTATTGTTAGCCTTAAGAAAAACTGACGAAACAGTCCGCATTACGAGTATAGGTCATTTTGATACAAATTATAGTAGATGAAATATATATATTTTTTTATCGAGTGCAAAGCTGTTTTGCTCGACGCAAGCAAACAAGCAAGTGAACGAAGAGAGGAACGCGCGCAATAAGAAAGAGATACAAAGCGAGCGTTTAGATAATTCTACATCAAGGAAGTAGTCTATCTTGGAGGGTAAAAAGTTAGTCTCTTTTTAATATTAATTAATTTTGTTTAGAAATTTAAAGTTCTAAAAGTATACTCTTAAAGATTTAAGTCAAAATTCGAAGAGTTAATGAAAATACAGATGAGCGCATAGAATTTTATAGTTTTATAGTTTTATTTTTCATAATTTTTTTATTTTATTATCAAATATTACGAAACATTCTGCGAGTTCTACTGAAAATAAAAACTTTCTAATGAAATAATAATTTTTTGCAAAGTGGAAATATTAGGAAAATTAGGCACATTGTTACATATTTTCTTTGATAATAGAATCTTATCATTTACAAAGTCGTTCTTCTTTTTATTTCTGTTTTAAAAAAAAACGCAATTTTTATTAAAAATTGCTAAAAATGCATTAAAAATAAAAATGTTAAAATCATAAATTGAAATTTAATAATATCTTAATTTGAGAAATTTTTTATTATCTTGCCCGAACGAGAGGAGCTCAAGTAAACATTTGGTTCCTTTTTTTTGCTTCAAATATCTCGAATTATCATTCTGTTACTCACAATACAATGTTAGCATAAATCGCTCGAAAATATCTATTTTCGGAATCAAATATTGAAGTCATTATCACTCGTGCCAGGAAGACAGGATATTTTTTGCAAAGCTTCAACATCGTTGAATTGAAACAAAAAATAATAATTATGTTTATGACGTCTATAAAATTCATGACCTATAAAAATTCAAATATATTCTCAAAATAGTAATAATAAATACGTATGTAAAAGTTAGGAATCGCGCAAAAGCATTAATTTTTTTCTTTTAAAAAATTGTAAAAATGTTTTGCACACAAGATAGACTGCCCTTTAATGTAAATATCTCTATTATTGCCTGATTAGATTAATCGAAGAGCTATATGGAAGAATATATGTATAAATAAATATTCACGATACATGATAAAGGCTCCATAAATACGATATTCTCGAAAATATGGACTTGCGCGGTGCTCGATATCACTCAAGCCATTTTATTTAACTGTACCTACATATAAAAACGTTGTTCATTTCCTGGAAATAATACAGAAGTGGCAATATCCTACGAAATATGGAATTTGTCGAGACACTGTGACGGTTCTTCCGAACCCATTGAATGAAATCTAATCGAACTGAACCCCAACTCTAGGAAGAAGAGGAGTGGGGGGTTACCAGACAAGCCACGTCTAAAAGACATTTCGAGGGTGTCTTTTAAACGCGCACGTTGTCTGGATGTTTTACTCCAAGCTTCGATTTAAATTATTAGATACAAAAGGTTGATCACTCGAGCAGTCTATCGGATATGTCATACCTCAGAGACAATAACAATACAGACGCATGTTGAACTCGTCAACGCAGGCACTCTGGGTGCCGTAAGCGTTCAACCTGCTGACAGAGCCGGCCAATTTGCGGCTGTTGTCGTCCGCTTTGTAGCGAACCGTACCCTCGAAGATCGCGTCGCCCGGCGTGGTTTGTACGGTCACCGTGTAGTCCACCAGCGTCGCCCCGTCTGTCTTATCCTGCCACATCTTCGCGTCCTTGATCATCTTCAGGTTCAAGGTCGCGCACATCGGATACCTGCTCAACATGTCGTTCAGCTCTCTCACGAGGAACGACACGCTGTCCTGCAGGCCGGTATCGTTCCACGCGACCGCGTTACTGGTGTGACACATGCACCAGTGATTCGCTATGTGTGCCATTTCGCAGGTACGAATGTCCGGTACCGGTAGGAACCAACTGATGCCACGTGGGACGGGCAACGCGGCTTGATTCTTGATGCGCCTCTTGAGAACCGACTCGCGCAGAAGCTCCGGGCTCAGCAGATCCGTCAACGTCTCGTGAAGATCGAAGGGCGTCGTGAGGCTGTGGCTGTTCCTCCGCAAGTTGCCCCAAGCCAGCGGGAACTTCTCGCGCCACCATCTCGGCAGGACGATGAAGACGAAGGGTAGACTGTCCTCGATTTTCCCCTGATACGTCTGCCGGAAGTCGCCCCATCTCATACCGTGATCGCTCATCAGAATCAGGGCTGTGCGATTCAGCAGACCCTCCCGCGACGCGTACTCGACGAACTCGTGGTAGGAGTCGTCGCCCAGCTGGGGATACGTGAAGTAATCGTGGGTGAGACTCGCTTGCCAGATGAAGGCGAAGTAGAGCTCCGTGGAGAACTCGATCGCCGTTTTGCGGGTGTAGTCCAGCATGCAGTCGAACGTCTTCCGGGTACCGAGGCAGAGATTGGCGTTCAGCTTGTGGGTGTTGCCGATGTCGTTCTCGGCGCCGATGCAATACGGTCTCAGATAGTAGTCCGTCGGTTGCTCGCGGAATCCCGGCTTCAAGTAGTTGAACGTGGTCATGCTGTAAGCGTCCTCGCCGAACACCGTGCGGTAACCAGCGGCGCTGTACCTCTTCCACAAGAGCGGGCATTCGTCGAAAGTTTTGTTGGGCATCTGCCAACACAGGTCCCGCAACTCGTCCTGATTCAGACCACTCAGCACCGGGACGAGATTCGGGTATGTGTTATCGGCGACCTTGGTGTAGCCCAACATCTCCACGGCGCCGAGGGACTGAAGCGACTTCACGGTCTTCGGCATCATCCTGTGAAAGTTCATCCTGGAGACCGAGTCGAGCCCGACAACGAGAACGCTGAGACGATCGTCGAGGAACAGATCCGTCCTCAGCGCCTGTTTGCATCTTTCCTCTACCGAAGGCTTACGAGGTAGGAAAGCGTAATAATCCTTGTACACTACTTCGTTGTTTTGATAACATTCAACCTTCACGAATTCGGCATTTATAGTGCAAGAATCTTGGAAAGGATAGCACTGCGTGTCATACCTGCAAAAAATTTTATTATTTATAATTTAAAGTTATTCTATAAAACATTATATCCTACAAATAATATATGTACATAATTTATGTATAATATACATATAATTTTAATTTTTTAATACTAACGTAACAGTATTGTCATTATCTTTTGTTCGCCAAAACGGTCGCCAGCAGCAACTTATGCCGTCCGGGCTGTTATAAAATTCGTTCCACGCCAGCGGGTTAACGAATAGCGCGGTATTGTTCGATTCAATCAATGGTGGAAAATTTCCATACTCGCATTCGAACACATCTTTTGTTATGAAACGTCGAACTGCAGGATCGAAAGGATCCATTGCTGGTAACCGACATCCTTTGTTGCGAACTAGAAAGCCACCGTTGCCTATCGGCGTGTATACGTTCGACGCTGTCGATACATATTCCTCTACAAAGTTACGAATAGTAATTAGTAATTAAAATAGAACGCGAAAGTAGATGGAGTGCATGATTTGAATATATATGATTTCTGTTGCTCTAGTTTATCAAGAAAGATTTGTGTGATATAAAATTATGTCATTGATATATTCATTTTTTTCATGAATTATTAACTATCGGAGCATTAAATATATTAGTAACTATTTATAAATTGTAACTATTTATAATTGTTTTGTCAAAGTAACAGCGATTTGAAATTAAACAAAAGATAAGGCTTTATTATTTATTTTCATATATCTTTGATGTTTAGAGTTTTTATGCTTATTTTCAATCATTAAAAAATTATTGATATATCTAATGTTTTTACTTATGTAAAAATTCTTTTTTCTCTTTAAATTGATCAAAAAATATATTTTTGAAATACCTTATTATTATTGAAATATTATTTTTATAAATTCTAGACATGCATTATCAGTGCTACGAAAAGTTTATACTGATTTTATAAAAAATTTACGGTAACATTACTGTAACTATCTATGCGCATACGATTTTATATATGTAGTTTTCCAATGCGAAATTTTTCATCTTTACGATCACCACAGAAAATTTTATGCCATTTATTTTTTTTTGTAGGACTTTATTTTATTTTTCAAATAGTTTCAAATAGTTTTACAATTATAATATGTTAGCTTGTTTAATGATTGCAAAAACTTCTTATTGTTAGTAAAATCACAGCGTAATGGGAATTTGATATTTACTTTTTATAAAAACTAAACAGTTAATAAATCAGATTTTTAATATTATAATATTGAGAGAAAAGTGAAATATTTTTTTAAAAATCTTAAAATTTTGCTAGATTGTTATGCTAGATTGTTATGTTGTTACATGCCTGTTGATATTTTTTTGCCGTGACATAAAGATCCGTTTATGTTCGAATTATTCTTATGCGAAAAAATCATGTAGATTAATAATAATCTAATACTCACGGGATGTTACATCCTGAGCAGTTGGTTTGGCCATTGCTCCGAATCGGATAATCCGAAATTGACCGGTGTTGTAGCTGTTGATAATGAGAAGCGACGTTAATAGAAAAACTAGTAGCGCGATTAGCCATCTTCGTAATCGCAGACCTCTCTTTTGTATTTTAGTTTTGATTAATGCCGTGGTAGATTCACACTCATCGTCAACAGCTTTTTTGCCGCCGCGAAACAGTGCCTGCCAAAGAGAAGAAGCGTTTTTTTTTATACATTTAAAATGCATGCTAATATGCATCAACTAAATTATTAGCTTAATAAATTTTAGAATGCAATAAAATTGACTTCTGGACTTTTTATAAGAATAATTAAAAGACAAGGACAATGGGAGTTTGGCGCGGTAAGTAATGCGCAATCAATAAAAATATGTCACTATAAAGTCATTAAATTAAACTAAATATATATTTAAGAAATGCGAAAATTTAAGAAAATAAGCAGACGTTTCTAATGTTGCAGCTGTCTTCAGTGCATACAATGCTGTTAAAAAATAAATAAATAAAATAAATAAAAAAGATACGATAAATCACGTCAATCAAATCACTTAAAATTGTCGAACAATCAATTAAGCAGTTAGAATTACGCTGTCCCAGCTCACTACACAGTCGGTTGGAACGTGGTTATTTATTTCTTACATTCACAGACGCAATAGTTAAGATTTCTGCGTATAGATTGTAGTCAATAATAAAAACGTATATAAATCCAAAAAAAATATATTACAGTCAAAAGATAAGAAGTAATAAAAGTGAATATACGGAACTTGGAACCGTAAAGACGAATTATTGCTGAATTTATTACTTCTTATCTTTTGACTGCAGTAATATGTCTTTTTATACACGTTTTTATTATTGACTACAATCTATATGCGGAATGAAGCATATTTACTTGATTTAAAAAACCGCGCAAAAACTGATTTATTTCAAATAATTTTAATATTTCCTTGTTTTATGCAAAAATATGAATTAATATTCTGATCAATGGTTTCGGCCTACAGTGGCTTAGTTTACACTGAGCACTCGCGTGTACTTACTAATTAGAAGCTTTCTGTTAAATTATCTTAATTTCTACAATACATTAATGAATGATGTACTAAGCTGATACACTATGCATTAAGATGACTAATTAAATACACATATCATGTATATGTTCACATGCATCATCGAAATTAAAAAAATTTAATAGAAAAATTACTAGTTAGTATGCGTATTAAATGCCCGGTGTAAACTAGACCGTGCTATAAAAAAAGTATTTTAAATAATATAATTTAATCTATTAGATCGACATACATAAAAAAGGCTAATTGAAAGATTAGGCTACTAAAAATCTAATAACAAGGAAATAACAAGGAAAGAAAATAATAATTGTGCATAGCATTGTATGCATATCAGAAGAATTGACGTGCTTTTTGGGAAGAGGGAAAAGAAAAAAAAACAAAAAGATTTGTTTTACCTCCTCGAAAGAGTGATGATCACGCATAACAGAGCGGTTGCATGCGTCAAACACTTTCGTAAGGTAGAATTGCACGATTAGTATATACATTATGTCCAGTGCGTTTATTTGTACGACAGCGATAACAGGACACCGATATCATTTGCGGTTTAGACATCTGTCTCGCTTGGCCTAAATTAGAACTCGCGGTTTAAAATTTGGGCTCCGTATTTCTTCGTTTATAATACAAAAGGGAAATATATTATTAATTATATCGTTATGCTACATTTTTTGTTTGCCATTGTTGCGTGGAAATTTTTTTTTCACAAATAACGGCAGCTTAGGAGATAGAATTAAATTGAGCAGTCTTGGTCCTTCTTTTTTCCATCACTCTTGCAATGATCAAAAAGAGTTTCTTTTTATTTCCTTGTGTATATCGTTCTCAATCCTTCCGTAGACACGATTACGCATTGCGAAGCTCATGAACGTCGCAATAGAATTCGCAATAGAAAGCGCATGAATAAATTACATCGAACGTATAGCGCAACGTGTGTAGGATGTTAGCCCGTAGCGTAGCACGCACATCAAAACTCAAAATGCGCAAACATGTCTATACTGCAATCGAATTCTTTTCTCTCAATGATTGTCTATCTAAGTATTCTAAGTGAACGGAAGATTGGCAAAAGGTGTGTGTGTGTGTGTGTGTCTCTCGCTCTTTTCGTTATGTTTCTCTTCTTCTCATTAGACTCACATTTCTTCTATGGTGTCGCGATATGTTTGTGTGGTCCATGAATTTTCATAGTGACGATTATTTGAGAGATTGTGAAGGAGATTAATGAGATTTACGAGCGCGATTGTTTCACTATGCGATCTGAGCCCCCTGACGTTGACGTTACACGTTTTAATTTAGTTTTAATTTAGCGGCCGTTGCACGGACCTGGAAGACTTGTGGAACGTTGACTGCGGAGCGTCGCTGCCATTCTGCGCCGGCATATATATATAATAATATATCGTTACACTCATTTAAGGGGCGTTTCGGTTTAATCGCCACCACGACTTGTTTCCTATTTCTCGATTTGACACGTATGTTAAGCGATAACCTTTGCACAGGCAGCAAAGGCTTGCTCTTCCGAGATGCTGATCGATTCTTGTTTTTAATATTCGAATCAAAATTACGTTCGCTCGACACGCTGTTTCGATCGAACTTCTTAGTTCTTCGATCTTTAGGTCCATACATCTACCTCTTGATCGTCAGTCTGTGAAACATTTCCTTTTTCTAGAGATGTTGAATATTATACGTATTGTCGTATCTTTTCATCGATATGTATAATAAAAAATGACTGGTCACTGATGATAATCCGGATCAGGCCTGTTCGAGCTCATGAAGTGGGTGGAACGGGGCTCCTTTAAACTGTAAGTAACTGTTTGCACCGCCTTAACTCTTCCCAAAGATAACTAACTACGACGTATTTACGCGATAATCTAATGAGTGGATCCTCAGAACTATCTCTTCTACCTCTTCTTCGTCCCATTTAGTGTTTTGCTCATTTTTTTCTTCCTAGATCTACTTGGTTGTATATTATGTTTAATAATGTATACATCTCCAGAGAAGGTGCATCCATCGATTGCATTCCTAAAACATCATCATTTTTATAGTTAGTTATGCTTCAGATATATTTCTTCTTCTGTCATAAACGATAAAGTCATTAATATTTTTCGATATGAATTAATTATGAAGTAATCAAAGTATTTTGTTTATGAATTTTGGAATTATTTTAAAATAAATTTTTTCTTTTTTTACAAAAATCATAATATATGAATAAATAATAAAATCTGAGATTTTTTAATTTAATTTTAAATATAATAAACAGAAAATTTTTAATTTTTCTAATTTATTCCCTATTTTTTAATTTAGTTTTTATTTTAATTTTTAATTTTAAATTATAAAAATTACAAATTACAAAACTAAAAAGAACAGATGGAAAGAAAATAACAGATGGATTAAAATTACATTTTTATTAAAGCAAAATCAATTCTTTGTATTGATAAAAATATTCATAAATAATGAAAAATAAAATTTTGTGTGTTATTTTTAAATATTTTATCTAGATGTAAGAGAATATACGTGTTGCAGAGTCTTATTTCCTTTTGTTATAATAATGTAAATCCAGTTTTAAATGTTAAAACAAATAAATATAAAATATCTTCATAAAGATTCTTTATTTATATGTATATTTTATATGTATATCTATAATTATCTATATCAACATATTTTTTAAATTTTTTATCTATTTTATCTCTATTTTGGTTTGAAAATAAACTTAGATAACGAAAATTTTAGAAAAATTTTGTTTATTAATCTTAGAGTATCATAAATAATATCAAGATTGTCAACAGGCGGAATCTGAAGTAAGATATACGTACATTCGGTCGAATCTTGCGTCCTTGCGCATGTGAACTTGAAGAGATGAATCTCTCAAACAGCTGTTTTTAGGTATCTACTATGATTTCGCAGATATAACGCGCGAAATGCTTGAACATGATGTAAAATGATGAACATTATGTATTATGATTCAGCAATACTTTTTTTTTCAATAACAACACAGCAGATAGAATCTCTAAAATTTCTTCTTATAGTGCAATTTCAAGTTTCGCAGCGGCGAGACACTGTCGTTACGCTGCTCTAATATCTTGTTTCCTTAATTAATACCGTCGACGATATATTCCTCGGCCGCACTTATCCCATACAGAATCCGCACTCTCGGAGATGCGCGAATACAAACGCAAACATTGGCAGGATGCGTGCTCCTCGTCTTCTTCGGGAAAATATACAGATTGATTGTTTTTTAGCTACCGATCCGTTAGTCTCGTCTTCCTCGTCATCTTCGCGCCGATGTCCGGTCTGTCATCAGAGTACGCGGGGATGGAAGCGTACACACGTTCAACGACCGATCCTCGGGGATGCTTCGGCAGGCGTTGCCGCGCCCCGGCAAGCTGGGATTTAGCCGAGAGTGCGTGCGGACGCCGCGGCGGACCGAGACTGGGCGAGAAGTGACGAGACGTGGAGGAGGACCAGAATTCCTGGTCGATAGCGGAGCACGCGCGTTTCTCCGGCGTGCGGACAAGAGACGCGGCTAGACCAGTGCACAATACACAGTTTGCCAGAATCAATCCCGAAGCGGGACAATATTATTTTTTATCATTGAAGTGATATAATGTGTAGGATGTATAAACTGTACATGGCATTTCTAGATTACACGATGTACGTACAAAAAACATTTTCGCAAATGTTTTTACGCAATATAATTCTTTCGTTTTTGAAAGTTAATCCCCATAATTTTCTGCAATGTAAGCCTCTCCGTACACGTGATGATTTTATATAAATTGCATACATAATCGAGTTCAGTAGTATAAATATTACTTAGATATTTTCATTGTTCCGAAATCATACTAACTTATTATGGTATTGTTTAAAAAAAAGAAATATAACTGAAAACTGCTATTTTTAATATTTTTTAAGTAATTTAAGAATGGGAAAGAGCTTAAGACAAATCTGAAAATTTCAAGTAATGTACGTTTAAAAATCGAAACAGTTAAAATTATTCGATATTAAATTCTGAATTTTTTGTGTACCGAGAACATTTAATTATATCTCACTATCTGCATCTCTTTTTCTTGATGCCGATTTATTATTGCCATTTATTAACGATTATTGGTCGATGCAATTTCTGTTATAATTACAACTTACAGCCGAATTTGTTTTATACAAAGCAATAGTTCACGGAATTCAATATCCAAAATGATTGTTTTTAATTTTGTATCAAATAAAGAAAAGATGAATTATAGAAAATACATATATATATATATATATATATATATATATATATGTATAAATATCAATTAATTTCTCTCTTTATACATTTTTATGTTATACATATAATTGTATACTTTTCCATAAATTTCTTTATTGCATTTTTTTTTAAAACAAAATAAAAAATTAGTTATGCGTATAACTGATCGCGTTGAGATGTGTACAATATCTTGACCTTATATATACACGCCACTACGAATATCATAGCCATAAAAAGTTATCGTTTCATTACTACGACTGATAAATCTGAAGTCATTATAAACGGGCCAACTAATATGATAACACGTTGATCGCAAGTAGAACAAAAATTCTAATACTTCAGTTCTGTGTTAAGAGAGTGTAGTTGAGATGGGAAACAATTGTATATCGGAAAGCTTATATCTGTCAAAGAATTAAAATTAATAGACAATACTATTTTAAATACACACGTGATTATATACAAATTCGATTTTTTCTAAATATATTTACATATGAAGGCCAAATATAATACTTAGACATTTATTATAAAAAAATGTTTAAGCATTTACTTTTCGTTGGCTGTTTCGTTTGATAAAAAAGATAATTGCAATAAAACACAAATATAATTACAATAAAAACTTTGATTAAATTTAGATTTTTTGTATTCAAACATATTTTTAATTTAACAATTCAAAGTTTAATTCGATAAAAATAGATCAATCTGCAGAGGCTCTTCTTCATCGCCTTTACATCAAATTCAATCGACGGTCCTTTTTAATTCTTTCTGTTTTTTTTTGTTTTACATTTTAATTTATATTTCTTTATTTCTTACATTTTATTTTATTGTAATTTATACAATTATTTTGCTACATAATTATGTTTTGTTAAAAAATATAATTGTTTAAACTTATATTATCTTTCGTACAATTAATGAAATTTTGATGACTTTCGATAATTTGACGTTTCTTTATTGAAATTATAATGAATTTTGGGACAAGCGGCAACGAAATATTTAATGTAATTCTTTCTTTAATTTTAGATTGAATAAATTATATTTTTTTAAATTGAAAATTATGCATGTATTGGCCGGTACTCAATGTAGAGTATGTGGACTCAATGTTACTTCGAGCATGAAATTTTAAATTGATCGATAAGTTGCAGTCAGTTAGATGAAAAAATTAAAGCGCGATATAAAATTTATTCTAATTAAAATATTTACCGAAAATTAAAAATTGTACGCAAATTTTGAAATAATTCATAATTTCTATTAACTATTTATATTTAATATAAGAGAGTCGCTTGAAAAATTGCTTTTGATATTCTGCATAGAAAATATTAAAATCTACTTAATGTTTTATTACGTTTATATCTTTTTAGGCTTAAATTCTAATTTTTAATTTTTATTTTTACGTTGCATTTTTATGCAATTTTATTTTGTGGACGGAGTAAAACACTCATGAAAAAAAGAAATTCAGACCGTAGATATGTTACCCGCCGGACATATTTATCGTGTTATATAGTATCAAAGTACACATTTTGTGCACAAAGAGGCGCCAGTAAACGGATTCCATCGAAAACGCGGGTCATCTGTAATTCTTCAGGTCTCTCTGAATCGATCCTATTTGTACCTTTATCAGTAGTTGATAAATCTGAGTACCATGATATTGACAAATGAAATGCAATGTAATAAAAGATAAATTGTATATACAGCTTTTGTAGATTTTCATTTCGACGGGGATATTATCTCGTGCAGAGCACTTTTGTCGGGTGTATATTTAAAAAATTATCGTCATATATATTTTCATATTGAATCGAAGCTACCACTTCCTGATATATTAAGAAAGTATTATTTAAAAAGTTACAAAAAATACCATTTAATAAAATGTTATTTAAAGTATTGGTTTGTTTAAAGACTAGCCAGAAAAACTGAAAAAATGCAGGGTAAAAAATTTAAAAAAAATGTATTAAACTCTTAATTCTTTTACATATTATGTATCATGATGTAATCATACGTTCTTATGAATGTATAACTTTGTATATAAACTTTTTTGCATTTTTATTTCTTTAAATAAAAATATTTGATACATTATTCTTTGGATGTAAATAATAGTACCAACGATTAACACAATTATTAAATTTAATGTTACTGCAGTTAACAATTTTATCTGTAAGATTATAGTATATATTATAATATTATATTAAATTAAAAGAGATGTTAAAAGTTAAAGATATTTTGTATTAATAAAAAGAATGAAAAAAAACGTATATATAAAAAGTTGTAACTTTTAATTGAATATGCTTAATGTAGATATAAAACAAGATGCAGTATTTAGCTTACACATAATCATTGATTTAAATCTCATCGTTTCATCATTATAATAATGGTTTATTGTTGAAGTGATATAGTTATAATGATTCGTAACGTATTTAACTACAATGATAGGTCTTTTATCTAATACAGTCGTGTTTATACATGGATTATACAATATTTACAGTAACTTAAGATCGTACAAGCAATACTTTTCTTGGACAATTTCACAGGACATTGCGCCAGATCAATGGCTATCGGGATATATTTTCGCGTTCTGTGTCACATAACGTTTCATTCGCACGTGTAAAGTATTTATACGGCGTACATGTGTTGCGCGCCTCTTAAACGCGTATCAATTCATTAAATTACGAAAATTTTGGTTAATAATACACTTATGATGTACATCGACTGTGTTTACTAATCGTTTTGCTATACTTATCAACCATTTATTCGCCACACATTCACTATTTACAATACAGTTTTCTTTGCGTTTTCCTTGTGAAAGGGTGTCATTCTTTGATACTTTCTCAAGACAGAGAAAGAAACGTTACATTTTTTTTCTTCTACAGAAAAATCTGTAATTTTCTTTATGTCAATAATCATGATGAAATATAAGTGATGGAAGATTTTCTAATCCTCGAAAAATTGTTTCGCTTCCGGATTGCCATTATGGAATCATTACTTGGGAAATGTATTTGTGTATTTTCGCGAAATATACAAGTTTATAAAAAAAGATTATCTATGGCATATCGTAAAGCAATTATTAATTGGTAATCGGCTAAGTTAAATATCGGGATCATTGATCAGTGAAATATTTAACGGTTCACACATTGAACTTGCACTTCGCGCTTCTCGATACGAATAATTTACACCGTCGCTATTGAGATCACTCTTACACATCGAAGACGAATATTATCCGGTAATATATATTTCCCATTCGTTCTAGCACGTCCCTTTTCCTTTTCGAACGTAAAAATATAATCTGATTTGATAAGTACAAAATGTCGATATGCTTTGATGCATCAAAGTTCAATCACTCTTTGTTCTTTGGTCGAGAGTCAAATAATCTCGACAGCTAACGGAAGTCGCGCAAGTTTCTCGGCACATCTCCCGCAGACGAACGAACTCACTGTGCACTATGTAAATAGCAAGCGGCTATCAGCGATTCAGATTTTGATTTTTGGCGGACGCGACATATCTAGAAGAAGCGACAGATTGTACATTTCGCCTCGAGTGACATTTTGTTTTCTTTTTTTTGGGGGGGGGAGAAGGGAAGGGGGTTCTTGTCTTTTTTGATAACATTATGCGACGAGAGAAAGAGAGAGATCTGATCGATGCCAAAATCATGAGTTTTTTTGAAATCTTCTCTATCTCTCTCAATCTCTTTCTCTCTGTAAATGTAAAATCAAATGAATTATTCTATCGAAGTGTTCACTGTAGATGCGTACATTTTCTAGCACGCGGATCTCGTTATATTTTTAGTTGTGTCGTCGTGTAGCATGTATTACTGCTGTAATATTCGCTGCGTTACGTGTAGACTGGCTTTCGTCTTAAAAAGGAGAAGATACATAGAAGCCGTTACACGAGTATTAATTTGTGAGTATGTACATACATGTAGGATCGATTACACGTAAAATTCCATTTCGTGTCAGTCATACTGATTACGATATACCATTTGATCATGCACGCAGACCTTTCACGAATTTCAGAGAGAATTTAATTATTAAAATGTTTAAAGGTACGTTTACGAAGAAAGTTATCCGGAAGTAAAATAATTAGCGAGCAGAATTCACTCTATGTAAATATTTCCTCTGCGCGTATAAATTCAGTCATTCATTTTCAATAATTTACATAATATAACTTTTAGTTAAACACCGTAAATTTTTGAAATATTTCGTTTATAAATTTTATATCGAGTGAAATTTACATGCAAGAGTTTCAATATTGCTTCTGCAAATACGGAAAGCAAGGTGAATTTGAAATTACGGAGAGTAAGGTGAATCTGTTAACGAGCCAAATAATAATTTCGCGCGTAGTTTTGAATATCCATATTTGACAGTATAACGTATATTGTCGTATTTTCTAAGAAAAAAGTATTTGTTTCGTTACATATGCGATTTTATTAAATATTTGGTATTATTCGTGGAAAGAATTACATTTTTCATGTGGATATGATAGATGTACATAGACGATAGGTACCAGAATCGGAACTTCGCGAAACAAAAATGAATAATAAATAAATCATAAATTAGTACACGTTGTAAATGTGTGGTATACGTTTCATTGGCGATGCTTCGATCGTTCAGTAATTGATTAAATACATAACGATATGGATGATAATGATTAAATACTATTTGTGTATCAAGTTATTACTGGCTATTTTCAATTGATGTTTGATAAAAGAGTTGAATTACGCGCAATCAATAATGCAAAAGTTGTTTCGTTACGTACATGTCATGACGTTTAAATGTATCGAATGTCGTAGTAATGTATATTTTACTTACATGGACATGAGTTATTTACTAAAAAATCACAGATAAAAGATTAATATTTAAAATTCTTCTATAAATTATTATTAGAGGATAATTAATTTCCTAATATAATTACAATCGCGTTTTAAAAAAATATATTAAAACATAGCCAATAATATAGTCATAGTCTCTCTCATATTTGTATAAATTAACAAATCTTCGTTTCGAATTATCCGTAAAATTGAAAAATAAAATAAAAAAAGACTATGGAAATTTTCGTAAATTTCAAATAGCGTCTGACGCCGTCACTCCTCCAAATGGTAATTTTTTTCTCATAAAAATGAATAACATCGTATATGATCAATATAAATTACTATGGGCGATGTACACATGCGAATATAAACAATTTCAATAAAAATTACAATAAATATTATAATAATTTTTACTAATACTCATAATTTATTATTATAATATTTATTCCAATTATCATATTTTATTATTATAGTTATAATTATCATAAATATTATAACATTTATAATAAATATAATAAACGTTATAATATTTTTCGTCATAATTTAATTAATGTTAATTTTGTAATTAATATTTACAACGACAACACAAACATCGCCGATGATGTATGGAGGATGGACGTTTAATTAGTAATAGTACTAATGTGTTATTTTTTTAATTAGTCACTGGTTCCGAGGCATTCTCGCAGACATTCGCAATGCATCGCATGCTAGTATCTCCTGCATACATCCATCCATGCGTGTAAACGATAATAAATTTATTATCATTATCATAATACTATGATACAAGATATAAGTACATTGGTTTAGTGATTGCAGGCTGCTCCTCTCATATCACAGCGAGGGGCGCTGCCGGGCCCGCCTTCTCAATTATACCTACAGTTTATCATCCTCGCGTTCGTCTCGTTCTAATTATGTTTTTTTTTTATCGCACATACACATCGCACGCATACACGTCGTAAACAAACGGAAGCGACACATATACAACCGCGCGTATATACAACTTGCACAATTGACGCATTCCTATTGCATCAATATAATATGTGCACATATGTATACATATGTATGTGTATATGTATTATATATATAATATATATATATATATATAATACGCATATACATATATATACATATAATTATGTATTTATATATTTATATTTATAATATATACGTATATATATATTTCTACATTGTATTTTTGTATATATATACGATATATATTTATATATCGTTATATATATAAGTATTTATAACGTAGCCTTAGATAACCCGGAGAGGTGACCACCGCTGTCGCGAATGGACGGTCGAACTGTGTCGGGGACACCCGTAAGGACGCGACGCCACGTGTCTTGCGGCTCCACAATATGCCTATGCTCGCCTTCCCTTCGCGAGCTGAGCTCAGTCTAGGCGCCGCGTCTATAGCGTGAGGAGGACTCCCACGAATCCCCGTGCGAGGGATTCGCGAATCGTAGATACGTAGATGCACACGTTATACGAGGCCCGATCGAGAGCACGCGCGCTGAATCAATATTTAAGCGGAACGTCTCGTCACGGGCCGCCCGCATCGCGGCGAGCGGCTTGAATAAACGATGAAACGCGAGCAGCCACGGTGACGCGATCGAGCCCCCCATCTCGCGTATCGAGAGTTTACGAATCGAGGTCGAAAACTCTCGGTTGTTCCTAGCCTACTCGGAAGCCGTCGACGGATCGATCGTGGAATCTACCGACCCCCTTTTTTACGCATATTTAAGACTAGCGCGATAATAGGAACATGGTGCCTTCGCTTGCAGACATTGAAAACCACTACCGGGCGTAAAGGAGGGACGAAGAGAGGAGAGAAAGAGAGACAGGGAAAGAGGGGGGGAGGAGATCGGAAGAGCA